AACGCGGTGCTGAAGGCAGCGTGCTCGAGGCTCCTGACCCTGGCCTCGAGCTGCACCAGCAGGGCGCCCCTCGCCGGGTCATTGTCGTTCTTTCTGGGTGCCTCCCCAATCGACGAGACGTCGTCGATGAGCTCCCTCTCCTCCCCCGTCTTGGGCTGCTTCTGCGCTGGCCCTGCTGGTTCCTGCAATAAACTCTCGGCGCGTAGTCGCACCAGCCCCGAGGCGGGCCCCGCGGCCTCCACGGAGACAACGGTGGTAGGCGGGCTGCAAGTGAGCGGTGAGATGCGCAAACAGATTCTGGAGAAAAGCGCCCACGGATTCAAACTCTCCATCACATAGATTGCACGTCCGCCTGCTGAACTCGAGCACTTCTGCTTCACACTTGCCACGACTGCGAGAGCAATACTGTCTGACCAGGCTCGTCTTTGCGCGATGCTGCGCAATAGTGCGATCGCGAAACATGCCCCCACGCAAAGCGCATGCGAGTTCCACCTTCCGCAGACGCGACGTGGGCGACGAGCTGCTCTTTTTTTCTGCGGACCATCTGACACGGCATTGCGCGCCATCGTCCAAATATTCTCGGCGGACAAAGCCTCCTTCGACCCCGTCGGCCTGACGGGCTGCGCTGGCGGCAGACGGGAGCTACAAATTCGCCCTCAACTCGCCCTCAACTCAAACCCCCGGCATAAATCATGATCGAAAGCACGTAGTCGAGGCGGTCGCCTGCCTGAAGCAGCAGCTTCTGGCAGGGCTCTATGTTTCCGAGGAAGCCGATATCTCGCTGCAGTTGAAGTGCCCACGGGCGCCCCTGCGGAGGTACAAGCCCATTAACCAGTGCATCACCATCTACTGCCATAAAGCCTAGCACTGCTGCCCAGAACTGCCCATGGAACTCTTTGGCCTTGCTGAGCCCCCGGCACCACCTAAGCCCATAGTCAAGGCTCCAAGAAGAGGGGCCCCACTCCGAACTTCTGGAGGGCCCCGTGGGAGGTGGGAGACTTGGCATGCCCCGACGCCAAAGAGCAGGCACCTTCCAAGATGGCCCTGCACCTGCGCGCGATAAATGTTTCCAGGATTCGAAAGTCTCGCGGAGCATGTGGCCCCTCGGCTTTAGCCCAAATTGCCATCCCAGAAACCGCAATAGTAACATGTAGCCCTTTGACGAGACTTACCTCGCGCATCCAAGGCGCGGGCGAAAACCAGAAGCTGCCCATGGAATAACAGCTGACACGCAGTGAGACATGCCTGTCGCCCACCTCCGGAGCAGGCGACAACGCGGAAGAGAGGTGGCCGCCAAGATAGAGCACGCGATGGCGACGAGCTCAAGCAACTTATGCGATACCTCCACGGTGGAGGAAGCGGGCGATGTCGCGCGCTCCGCGTCCAGCAAGAAGCACAACGTTTTCTTGCTTAGAACTATTCTGCGACGCCCCCACCTCCCAAATCCCGCTGGATATAGCTCGAGCGCAACTTGCCTGATATCGGCGACGCGCTCGCCCCACGGCAGGCGCGCCTCGACGGCAACGCGCCATCCGCGGGCGCAAAACTGACAAGCCACTCTCTGTAGCACTGGCTACGAGAACGGTCGAACTAACAGAAGCGCGGCCCCAGCATCTCCACGGCAAACTCCGGCCCCTGGTCGAAAACGCCCCGACTCCTCTCCCATCTTGAAAATCCAACTAGATATACATCCCCCCTTCGGGATGAATAGACTCAGCTGCCTCGAGCACAGCGGAGTTTTTCGAAGAGAAGAACGCGTTGGAGGCATCGTGGCACCTCAGCAGGTGAGAAACTCTGCATTTCTGCATACGAAGGCTGCTGATGATCTGGACTGCCATGGCTGTTCCCCCCCGTCGACGCCCAACCGGGACGGGGCCAGGACTTGACTCCTCGGCAGGGCGCCCCAGCACTCTAGTCCCGACCCAAGGCGCACAGAACCACGATAATCCGGTCGCCAGCGCAGTCGACCTTGGCAACATGAGGGAAACGCGCCGCTCGCGCGGCATGCCAGGCCGCAGGCGCGCGCCTCCAGCGCCTGCATACACACAGCAACTTCTTCAATAACTCGGCGGGGCGATTCTCTGGCAGCTCGATGTCACACAGGCCTAGCCCTGCGCGAGCTCTGGGTCGCCGATCGTTGACCCGGGCGGGGTGAAAAAGTAGACGCAGCAGCTCGGGGGGGCAGGCCCATTCTGGCAACTGGCCACGCCCACCAGAACCTGAGTTTCCAAACCCTCTTGGACATGGCGCCGTAGTCTTCCATGGCCACAACAACAGCTTCTAGATCTTCTCTGGGAGACCTGCCCAATCCTCGAACTTCGTGAGAGATCGATCCCAGGGGCGTCTCAGTCGCAGAACAACACCCAGAGGCTGCTGGCTGCTTCATTCTGTCTGTCCACATGGCAGCGCAAGCAGAGGACTGAGGCAGCACTCGAAACTGTCGCTCACGTGGGCCTCGTCCTTTGCCTGCGATCAGTCTAGACAACTTGTGCGCCAAATGAAGATTACTCTGAGCAAGCGCTAGTTTCAGCTCTTCGATCCTGCGGGCACGAACTTCCCCCCAGTGTCTTCGAGCTGCGTCTCGAAGCCGGCGACTGAGATATTTAATGTTGTTGGTGACACGCTGGCAGAATCCTTTAGCTTCGGCCCGTCCTAGCAGTTCTCTAAGTTGTCGTCGCTGCGTTCGCAGTCCTCCTAATAACTGAGCTCTCGTCTCTCTCCCTATCTCTCTCTTTCTCTCTCTCGCTCTCTGTCTCTTTCTCTCTCTCTCTCTCTCTCTCTCTCTCTCTCTGTCTCTCTCTCGAGTTTCTCTCTCTCTCTCTCTCTCTCTCTTTCTCTCTCTCTCTCTCTCTCTCTCTCTCTCTTTCTCTCTCTATCCCTCCTCAGTGCACAACGGGGACGGGGTAAAAACCTCTCGTGCGGCGCTGTTGAGTACGTGCATGAACGTTGTATTCATGTCGTCAATCCCCCCTCCTCCTTCATCTTCTCGTACTCCTCCATCACCTCCTCCACCTTGTCACTAACCACTCTGATGAATTCCTCGCGCTTGTATCCAACCTGCACGCACTCACGCGTGGCGTCTCGATTTGGGCTTGCAGCTCGCGCTGGAAGCGGAGAAGCAGCAGCAACGACGTGCTCAACGAACACGACAGGCCGATGGTCTCGTGCAGAGACAGTCTGATGTAGCTGCAATCTGCGTGCGCTGCGCGAGTGTACTGATCAGGACTCTACAGCAGGAAGAAGAGCGCGAGGGACAACGACATGGTCAAGATGACTCTTTCTCTCCGACGAAGGAAGCGGGGTCGAGGAAGAACGTGTTGGCAGCACACAAACCCCATGCACTGAGCACTGGTCGCCCCGCTGCAGAGGCCAGCGACGCGTTGCCTATGCCGCGCGGCCCAGCAACGATGTCATCTTCAGAATACACAGAACCTCCACTTAAATCCATATACAACAACGGAATGGCACGTTTAATGTCTAATAACTCGGGCATGCTGGAGCCAGGAGACGAGGGCGGTCACTGTTTTGTCGCATGCATGATTCTGGCCCGTTTTAGAAACACGCGGCGGGAAACACAGACCACTGATGCCAAAAACCTACTTGCTGGCGAGTAAGAATGAAACCTGCTCTGCCCCACAGTTGCTTGGGAACTGGAAGAATACGTTTGACAGAATGGCGAAGACTCATGTTGCATTAGAATGCTGATGCCGCAGGATGGGGTGGCCAGGGGCCTCTTCGATACCCAAACTTGCAACACCGAAACTCATCGACAAGAAGCTCGGGTTCGACAAGTTCGCCCGTGATGCGCTGCTGGGTACCCCAAAATACTATGATGTCGTGAGACGGATGCTCTGCAACAGTATCTGCTACGCGAGAAACTCGAAAGGCTGCACATGGATTGTACCCGACGATCCGCAGCAGCCCCGTGGAGGCGTTCATGACGCCTTCGGGCACACCGCCGCCATGGCTGCCAGGCGAGAGGGGGCCCTTGCGAATCGTGAGAACCTCGGGGCGCGGGAGGTGGCTCTGAATCGTTCGCGGGGATCGGGCCACCTGGGAGGAACAGGAGCAGGAGGAGGAGGAGGGAGGACAGCGAGGAGGGAGGACTGCGAGGAGGAGAAAGGACGACGAGGAGGGAGGAGGAAGAGGAGGAGGAGGAGGAGGAGGAGAAAAATGAAGAGGAGGAGGAGGAGGACGAGGAGGAGGATTGGAAGGTACGGACTGCTTGGGCTGGCGCTGGACCCCCTCCCCCGGCCCGCGGGGCACGCCGAGGATAGCGCCGGAGGCGCCGCCCGGGGAGGCCAGCGCGACCCGAGAAACCCGCGCGGACCATCGAAAGCTGACGCACGTGCGCTGCCGATTAGACCAGCGCGTTCCACGACTCGCAAAAGAACTGCTCGCAAATGGCCTCGATCCACCGCGGGGGCTGCACGATGCATGGCACAGAGGAAGACATGTTTGTCTCAGCCGTCTGCGAGCAGGCACGTTGCGCGCAGTGGAGCGCGCCCGGTGAGTTTGTTCGAGAGGAGGAGAAGTACCCGCCACCACAGCGGTCGCCATCTTGTGCCTTGCTCTGCCGATCGGCGCAGGCCCTCGCACCCCCTCCCCCCCCAATGGAGGAGATCTTGGCTGTTTTGGGGCGCCAGTCTCAAGCACGTGAAGATCCCCCCCCCGTACAACAGTCGCACGAAGCAGAGGCTCGGGGCCAAACCACCCCACCCCCGCCCTTCCCCCTTCTGCCCCAGGTCCAAACGCCTGAAGAGCAACGAGAGGGGGGGACTGGCATTGTGGGGGATCGGCGATACATCGCCGATAGGTCGGCGATGAGCCTCCGATCGTGAATCCGCACCTCCCTGGGCAGCTTGGGGCGATCGGGCCCCTGCCGGCGATCAATGGGCGGATTGGGGGTCGATGCGTCCCCCCCTATACCTGTCCCCCCAACCGTTGCCCCTGAACGCCGAATAAGGCAACGTTCACAAGGGATTCCTCGCCCCGGCATCCTCGTTGGCGTCGCCGCCCTCGCCGCCGGCGGTGGTCGCACCGCCGCCCTTGCGGCGCCGCAGCTCCTGTTAAGTCGGGCGTGTCCCCCTATAGAGTGATTTTGGGCGAAAAATAAAGAATACTCAAAGAATGCCCCCAAATGATCAAAAATAGTCAAAAAATCATCCCCCGACTATTGTTTGACTATTTTTGAATATTCCCCCTGAAAGCGGACAGGCCCGACTTAAAGCTCCTGAGACGGGCGGTGTAGTCGAGCCCGGGCCAGCAAAGCATCCCTCGAGAAGAGGAAGCCCTCCGCACACAGAGCATCCCAGGGTACCCTACCCTTGTGGATGCCACGACAATGGACACCCTAACAATCCTATCATTGAATCAAAAATGACTTCAATATGTGCAAAACATGTCCTAGTAATATTTCAAACATGTTTTTTCACACAATTCAAACATGTTTGAAACATGTTTTGGACATCTGGAAATTAGTTGGCGACATGCTTCCTCTCCATCGATCGTCCTCCACAACCCTACCCCAGGATGCACAAGCACATCCAAGAGAGTTGTTACGTCGGCGGCTAGGCAGAGTCACCGAGGCGGCGAGGAAGCGAAACGGGGCTGCCGTTCAGCGAATCGTGCCACCATGCAGGAAGGGAGGAGAAGACAGCGAAGCGACGGCCGCAAGGAGGAGGAAGCGAGCCAGGGCCGCTCAGGGGAACGGGTCGTTCCCAGGGGCGCGTGGCGCGGCCAGCATCAAGAAAACACGAAGAACCTGAGGGCACCCTCCCCGAAGCGACCTCGAAGCTCTATCTCGGTCCGACTGTACACCACCACCGCCTGCAAAAATATCGAAAGTCAGCATCGGAGTTAGCGCCGTGCCAGACCATGCCGCGACCCCACGGTGAACAGGACTCCAGCGCGGCGCAAGGACGCCATGGGAGGAAATCCCAAAACAGATGAATACCAATAAAATCCCCCCTAACCCTTGAGGAGGGGAACTAAGATGCTGCAGATGTATCGAAACGAACCGCCCAGAATTATCGTACCTGATGCAAAGACGGGGACCTCAGTGAGGCTACGTCTTCATCGTGTGATTACGGTTAGGGGTAAGAAGCCGCCTAACTTGGTGGTGGTGTATCATAACTGGCTCCCCTTGTAACCAAAGTTCTACACACTGCCACCGCGTTGACTTCGACGAACCCTCTCCTGGCCCTCGGGCGCGAAGGAGGGGGGCGCCCGGTCGCTGTCGCTGGATGAGTTGAACCGCGGGCTCTCCACAGGAAGCAAGTTGCACCAAAACACCTCGCGCAATTTTCCCGATCTCCGTGGTGGTGGTGGTCATGTGTCACGCTCGAAATTGAGGCTACAGTCGGGCTTGCTTAAAGAGGACACGCGAGAGAACACAAGACCCTTCCAAGGGCCACGTTGCCGCAGGAATGTAGGAGGCATGGGTCGCGAGACGCAGTACACAAGGGTACCCTTGATTTGGCAGGGTCGAACTACGAATCTGGGAGTAGATGAAAACAGTAAGTAGGAGGACGGATAAAGTAGATTGGGTTCAGGCACTCCCAGAGAATAACATAACACAGCGAAACACACAGTGATTCTTGAATTAGGAAGGCGCTTGAACCAGATTGGGATATGGGAATCCAACAATACCTACTTTCCATAAATGCTCGCTGCAACACTTCGCGTTCGGGGGAGGTTGAGCAGGGACCGACCGTCCAGGCATTCCTGCAAGCCAACCACGGCATGTTATTAGAACCAAAAAACATGCTCTAATAACAAAAGCAGTTTCTTAAAACATAAACCAGATGTGCTAAAACAAGACAGTCTTAGGTTGGGCCTGTCCCCCTACAAGGCGATTTGGGCTAACAAAAAAACAGAAACCAAAACTCAAAAAAAAATCAAATTTGAAAAAACGTCCCCAGACTACTTTGTAACTATTCATTCATATTCATATTCCTCCTGTAGGGGGACAGGCCCGACTCACAGACAGCCTCAGCCAGACGTGTCCTGAGCATACTTCGTGCAGTGGCCATCAAAGTCAGGAGGGAAAGAAACACACAGACACAATGAATCGTCGATCCCCAGAAAAGATGGGAAAATATGCGAAGTGGGGGGGGGGGAGGGAGACGAAAAACCCATGAATATGAAAGATATGGGGAATCCTTCTATGTGTATGCACATCTGTGTGTGTGTGTCCCTGGGCCCCTTGACAGAGGCTCTTGGAGAACACTGATGGCGTGGGAATTCCAGGCACCCCGGGAGGCCGCGCCGCTGCTCGACGCGGGACCTCGATGGCAACGGGCCCGCGACCCTCGGCCTCTCCCCGAGACCGGCCCTCCGGAGGGGCAGGGACCACTTGGCTGCGCACAAGAGGAGGAGGAGGACGAGGAGGAGGGCCGGTCTCGGGGAGAGGAGGAGGAGGAGGAGGAGGAGGAGGAGGAGGAGGAGGAGGAGGAGGAAGAGGGGGAGGGGGTGGAGGGAGGGGGGAGGGCTTCTTAC